TGGCAATGGGCTTTCTGGGTCCCTGCCAGGGGTTTGTCCCAATTTTTCTCTCGCTTGTGCCCGTTCTGTTTGACTTGGTTCCTAATGAAAACCGGTTAACCTGCAGCGACCTTCCCTTGTACCGAAATCAGCCGGGGATCTGCCCGGGCTCAGGGAAATCTGTGTAATTTCCTCCTCTTTCGCTCTCAAGTAGGAGAGACCTTCTCTAGAAAAAAAAAAAAAAAACCAGCAGTAAATGTATTTACTCTTAAGCTCAGCCACTGGAGACTTGTGTGTACTCAAGGATTTCCTGGGAAACCTTGTAAATCCCTTAAGGCTCAGGCAGCGTTTCCCTGATCCCCCTCTAAAAGCTAATAAGGGATCAGGGAGCATCTGGGGGAAGCTGCTGGGTGAGGAAGGGTGGCCTGGCCAGTCCCCGGGGCTGGTGGTGGTTTCTCCTTCCTCGGGGAGGTTTCTCACCCAGGGACAGGCGCTGGAGGTGCTGGCATGGATGCCGCTGTTGTTTCTGTAAAGTTTTCCGTGTGTGGTGGGTTTGGGGGTAGAGTTGAATAAAGGTTTTCGCGGCGCTCGTAGAGCTTTGTAGGAAATGGGAGCATTTGGAAAACATTCTGGGTTTGTATTTCCAGGGAACCAGGTGAGAAGCAGGTTTTATGAAATACTATGAAGTGATTTGATATTAACATTATTTATCCGAGCTTCCTGCTGCTTGGTTGTAAAGCAAACGTGGAGTCCTGACATCATGAGACCGAAGCTTGTGGTGCTTTAGAGGATGGGAGGTGATCACGCTTCCCATCGCTTGAGCCTGGTGATGGCCAAGGGCTTCACGGAGGTGGATGCTGAGATCAAAATTGCTCGTGAGCTCACGCGGCTTGCTGCAACGCTTTGATGACTCGGAGTGCTTAAAAGTGGCGATTCTAAGAACAAAAGGGTTTTGCTTCTCTTGGTGATGGGGTTCCCCTTCCTGGGGCAGTCTGACCTCCCGGGGCCATGCGTCCATCCCTCCTGGGCTCTGCCCTTTTCCAGCCATTCCCAGGAAAGGTTTCCTTCTCGCTCACCAAGCAGCAAAATACCTGAATTCAATCAGTTTAAAAAAAAAAAAATCATTGTCCTTTTTTGCCCCCTTTCTCCCCCAGCCGTAATACAAATATCTTTCTCCTTTCTCAGGTGCTCCTGATTGCTCCAGCAAAGGGAGGGCTTTGGGGGGCTGAAGTTGCTGGAAGGTTTGATCCTTTCAGCCCATGTTGTGGAAAATGTCTGAGCTGCTGGAGCCCGGAGAGCCACGGCATGCTCTGGCTAAAGGGACAGTATCTGGGTCACCGAGCTTCCCCCAGGCAGGGACAGGGATCCAGTGATCAGAATTCACCGTGGCTTAACACACAGCTGCTGGCAAGCTCCCTCTAAGAATGGCTAAATGGGAAGCTACGGCATCAATCCCTGATTTTTTAAAATGTCTTTCTTTTTATTTCCTTTATTTGGCTGCTCCTCCTCTTTCAGGTGCCCTGGGCACGGACATAACCCACCCCTGCTCGTGCCCAAGGGCTGTCCCTTGCTGCAGGCACCGTGGCAGCTCCCGTGTGCTGGCTGCATTCAGCTAATTTTAACCAAAACTCTTGATTTCCCGGGCAGGAGCTATCCCTAGTAACCAAACTCCGTTTTGTCCTCTTGTAAGACTAATGAATTTTGACAAAAACCATCAAATGTACTTTGCAGAGGAAATCACTTGGCTGGTTGCTCAAAATCAGAGTGATTGCATATTAACTTGTGCTGCTAAAAGGCCTGCCCGCCTGGAATTCAACAGCTGCTGCATGAATTTCTACTCTAGACAGCGTGTTAATGATGTCACGCTAATGCAAATATGAAAACAGGGGGAAAGCTAGATAATCCGAGCTGTTTGGGTAAGTGGGGTCTGCTAGCAGACTTAATATAATAACCGATAAAGCTGTGCTTTGCATCCCATTAATTCACCGGCGGGTCACTGGGCGGTGCTGGGAGGCAGAGCTTCCCGCACTAACGAAGCACCCACGTTGCTGCGTTTCCCTCTACCTTCTCTGGCTCCCCTTGGGGTTTTGCCTTCCCAAATCTTGCCTGCTCGTCCCCGGGGGGGCTGCGTCCCTGCTGCTTGTGCTTTGCTCTATATGATGCTCATGTGCAGGATGAGACCCAAAGCACCTCATCCTCTCTGCAGGGCTGTGGGACACAGGGCTGAGCTCTCCCTGCCTGTGAAAGGAGGGCATAATTTTTTTTTTTTTTTTTTTTTTTTCCTGTGGGAAAACTTAAAAACGTGAAAAATCAGATTTTTTTTCATCGTAACTTTTCATGGCATGATTTTTGCAGTGGCGTTTGGGTGAAGGCAATAGCTGACTCAGGGGCTCTGTGGGTCTCCCCAGGTCCTGAGCATCCCTCAGGGCAAACAGCCCCTCCTGAGTGCCCAGCCCAGCACGGGCACCCAAGGTACCAGGATCCTGAGTGAACGTGAATGCTGGTTTTAGATATTGAGATGTTTTCAGCAAAAAGTAACATTTTCCTAAATCTTCCCCTCCACTTCTTTTGGAAAATTCAATTTAGTGGAAAACTGATTTTTTTTTTTTTTTTTTTTTTTAATCAAATCTGTTTGCTAGGCTCTGCATTGGAAAGACTTTATTTTCATTTCAATGAAGAGTTTTTCTTCCCTAATGATTTCCCTTGCGTTACGGCCTGCGTGCTCTCAGCGCTTGCTCAGTCGCCGCTCCCCCTTGGGCCTCGCTTTTCCTGGGCACCGTTGGCTCCCAGCATGGAGATCTCAGGGGTTTTGGGGGGGATCCCTGAGATTTTGGGGGCCATGCCCCCCCCACTGTGCAGGTTTGGTGTGACAGGGGCTTCCTAAGGGACTGTCTTTGCCACTGTGGGAAAGGAAAATTTAAAATCCCTGGGTGATGTGTACTGTAATGCACTGCCCTTCATCTGGGATGCTCCAGGGTTTGCAGTGGTGCTTGATGCAATCTGGGCGAAGAAAAGTGTCCTGGGGGCAGGAGAGGGGGGTGCATGGCTGGGGGGGGGGGTTTAGGGGACCAGGATGGGGGGTTCAAGGGACCGTCCCTCTGGCCGTGGCATCATCCAGAGCCACCGGCTCTCAGAGGTTTGAGTCACCCTGGCCAAACTGTCAGAAAGTCACTTTGCTAGTGTTTTTTTTTTTAATCCCTAAACCCCTGAAGTGATTCATAAGAGCACTACTGAAGCTCAGGGCTGGGGCATTAACCAGGAAAACGCCCTTTTGGCTGTTCAATAATGTCAGAAATGTTGCTGCCGCGTATCTGGGGCAAAGCTGCCAGGTGAACGCGGGAAGAAAATGTGTTTGTGGATGGCGGGAAGGCAGTTCAGGGTCCAGGGCTGACGTGGCAGCTCAGATCTGACCCAGATTGTTGCTGATGGGCAGAATTATCAGAATTTAGGCTCTGGGAGCGAGGCGAAGCGATGCTGGCGGCAGCTGAAGGAGGAGGCGGGCGCAGCCGCCCCGTCCCGGCTCTTCCATCCATCCCCGCTCTGCCCCCCCCTGAAATTGGCTCTAATAGAGGTTAAAATCACACCAGCAGGTATCAATCACGGAGGGGAAAATGAACCCTGCGCCGCCCGGGTAGGCAATTTGTGTAGCGTGCCCTAATTAGAAAGAGGCTCCTGAGTTAGGAAGCAGTCTTGCGTTAAGTGCTCATCACGGGCCGGCTAACGGGGTCGTGATCCCACCACGGGGAATTCGTGTGTGTTTGTGAGAGGCTGCCTCGACTCCAGTTCACGTACCAAAGGCACCGAGAGCAAGCACCTTCTATTTTATTTTATTTTATTTTATTTTATTTATTTTATTTTATTTTATTTTATTTTATTTTATTTTATTTTATTTTATTTTATTTTATTTTATTTTATTTTATTTTATTTTATTTTATTTTATTTTATTTTATTTTATTTTATTTTATTTTATTTTATTTTATTTTATTTTATTTTATTTTTTTCCTTTCACCTCAATAACTGGAATGACCCATATAACCAAGTCCCTGATGTTTTAAGGCCAGCCTAGTTCTTATCTTATATACATGTCCAAGGGATGACTTAGAGCTCTTGTAGCAATTTGAGCAAGAACTGGGTTTTTCACTAATAACGCCCATGAAGAATGTTTTAAAAGTGATAAAGCAGGCTCAGGGAGGGTTGGTTGTGTATCTCGGTGCCTCGTGTGATGTTTTTTTCTGCATTTCCTTCCCCGCCTGACCGAATCCAGGCAGGCAGAGCTGCTCTGCCCGGGGATCCTGGCTGGCGTTCGCTGGATCCGCGACCGACGGTGCAGCGGGCACCGTGGCTGCCTGGCAATTAGCAGCCGGGTCTCCCTGGGAGCAAATGAATTCAAATAAACCTTCCCAGCAGTGATGGGGTGGGGGCCTGATCCCGGCTGTTGCCCTTAGCTGGGTAAAAAAAAAAAAAAAAAAAAAAAAAAATATGCAGCGTGTTATCCTGGGCATGTTTCTTTGTTCACATTAAATGGAGCCAGGAGCTTGATATGTTAAAAGGTCAGCGCTGGGAGGGCTATGAAATATTTAGTGGCTGTGTCGTGCTGACCTAGTTAGTTCGCACGCTCTGAGCGTGCCAGCACAGGGGAAGAAAAGGCGGTGGGGTGGCCGGTGGGGGGGGGGGGGGGGGCACCCCACAAAGTCCCTGTAAGGAGCAGGGGGGTCCTGCAAAAATTTCCTACTGCGCTGGGGCTGGGCGGCTGCTTGCGTGGAGCACCCCCGCGGGGTTGTGTTCACGGAAACCCTTGCTCAAACGCAGCTGCTCTTGGGAATATTGATGGGGTAAAACCAATCCCCAGTTCAGCCGGGTGTCTCCTCCAGAAAAAAAAAACATCCTGGGGGGGATCTACAGAGCCCTCTCCCCTAACAAGGCTCCAGCCTTAAAAAGGCCAACTTTATCACTAAATATCTTTTTCTTCTCTCTCTCTCTTTTTTTTTTTTTTTTATTTTTTTATTTATTTTAAATTACAGACAGGCCGGATCGAACCAAACTACCCCAAAGTCTGCGGTCACCAGGGCAACGTGCTGGACATCAAATGGAATCCCTTCATCGAGAACATCATCGCGTCATGCTCCGAAGACACCTCGGTGAGCTGAGATGCTTCGGGCTGGCACCCGCAGCTCCGTGCACCCTCCTGCCCTGAATTCAGACACCCAGCAGTGCCGGGAGGGGTCAGGCATCTCAGGAACGGAGAAGGGCGAAGAGATTGATGCAGAGCAACAGGGAAATTGTGCCGCCTCTGCGTCGGCAGCGCAGGGACTGCAGCCGGTGGCCGGCTCCTCCGCTGTCCCCAGTGTCACTTATTGTCACAGCGTGGCTCTTTCTGCGTCCCCCGCTGCAGATAAGCCGTACAGCTGTGCACAATGAGGGTTATTTTTTTATTTTTTTCCAAGCCCAACAGCGATGCTATTATTAATCCTCCGTGCTCTCGGGGACCACAGGGGCTGCAAGTGCTCCCGCGGCCTGATCCGTCGAGCGACACGAGCAAAATGCAGTTTTGCAGGCTGGGGGATAATGACTCAAGTCGTCTTTGCATAGCTGTTACTTGCATCCTCCTCCTTTTTATTTTCTGGACACAAGCCCACCCCAAAGGCTGTATCATAGAGGGAAAAAAGACTTGGTACAAGGGAGAAGATCAGAAACTATTGCCCATTCTGCACAGCCAAAGCCGGGGTTTGGGGTGATCCAGGTTTTCACCAGTTACAAATCTGCCTCACCTAATCCTTAGCGTTTCACTGTATTATCACCTAATGTCTCATCCTCTCCTTCAGTATATTGGCATTTTTTATTAGCTGAAAGGTTGTCAAGGAAGATACTGAGTGGGGAAAAAATTCAGATCATGGCCATGAATCATGGTGAGCTGTCTCCCACTTTAAATTATAACCTTTTATATACAGTCGCCGGGGCGTAGGAGGTGCTGGCAGGGAGGGAGGATGCTGGGAAGACTTCCCGAGCCATCGTTAAACCTGGGAAATTAAGTTAATTGCCCCTGAGGCTGTCTGGTGGGGGGGTTTCCCCCCCTCGATGGGGATGAGTTGGAGGGGAGCAGCCCCGCAGATGGGGGGGGCTCGTGGCTCCCGGTGCCACCTCGTGCCCAGGGTGCTGCTTACAGGCACCTTTGGGTGCTCTCCGCTCGCTCCCGGGAGGTTTAATGAGGTTCAGGCTTTCACTCTTTCCTCCATCACACCCGACACGGAGAGGGCAACGTGTACCCCCTTGTCCCCGGGGCATCGCTCTGGGCTAATCCCCTCCCAGGGGTGACGAGGATTTTCCATCTCGGCGGCGGTTTGACGCTGCCTCGCTGGAGAAGGATCTCTCTCACCGCCCACCCGGGTTATCACTCTGCTTGAAAACCCCTCCTGGAATTTCTCCCTTGCTGGCAAACCCGTATCCACCCGTACCTGTCTGTCCTCACTCAGTCTGTCCTTGCCTGACGCTCTCCTGGGGGATGCCGGGGCCGTTAATTCATTATTTGTCCTCGGCGGACAATTAGTGACAGGGCTGATCCTCGAGTTCCTGATCCCCACAAGAGCTGCTGAAATGCTGGGAAGGTTTTTTTTTGGGGAAGGAGGTTTTAAAGGGCAGGACAAACCAAACGGGAAGATGAAAAGGGCAATTACCTGATTTCTGTAGGTGTTTCAAGCTCTGCAATTTCCTTGTGCTGGAGCTCTCCGTGCACTCAGGCGCAGTGAGCTGGTGTGGCATGCAGAGATGGAAGGAGGGGGTTTGGAGCGTGGCATCTTGTTGGCAAGATACATCTCTGGGGAAAGGGGAATTTTAGGAAAAATTGTATCAAGAAGGTTTCTTGGGGTGGGTTGGGAGGGGAAGCCTCTGGTTCCACAGGCTGCGTCCCTCCTCGGTGTCACAGGAGGAGGTGGAGGGAGGCGCTTCGAGGGCTGTTCCTCTGGGTCTTTTATTTTTAGCCAGAATTTTCCAAAAGCATCATTTCCATCCCAGGAAGGGCTGAAGTTGTGAAATGCAGCGTTTGATTTTTTTTTTTTTGGGGGGGGGGGGGGGGGGGGTTAGCCCCAGCTATGCCTACACTGGCACCAGCACTGCATTACTACTGCAACCGGTTCCGACGCGTCTGTCGTCAGGTCCCAGTGACCGTGGTAACGGGGGAACCGACCTAAAACGCTCACCCCCTTTTCCTGCAAAGACACAAGGAAAGATGCAGCTCTGCTAGGGGCAGAACGCCGAGGTGATGCCGTGCTGCAGGGTCCCAGCAACGATTCCCAGCGGAGCATGGATGCAGGATGTGTTTAATAACCTTCCTTTAGGCTACCTGCACAGGGAAAAGCAAGAGGTGGCTCCTAATTTGAGCCGGACCCTGGTGATGCGGGGAGCCCAGGCATCGCAGCCCGGCGTGCAAAGTTTTCCCCGTGTGTGTCCCCCCCCCCCCAGCAGCGAGCATGCAGAGCTCGCCCGGAGCTCCCCTGGGTGCGAGGTGCAGGCGGAGGTTTGGCAAGAGCCGTTTCGGAACCTGCTGCTTTCGTAACCGGTCCCTTCGGCACCCGGCCGTCGGGGTTGTGGTGCTTGTTCCTCCTGTTGCGCCTTGTCTGAAAACAGCTGATGCTCTCGGAATCGTCCCTCCGAGCCAAACCAGCCCCTTCACTCTTTTTTTTTTTTTTTTTTTTTTTTTTTTTTTTTCCCCTCATAACGCCATTTCCTCTGCAAACCCAAAAAGCAGTGTCTTCCACCTCTAAAAATGCACAGGTTCAGGCAGCAAACACTGCTCCACCCATACATCCTTAGAGCAGATTTTTCACTGCGATATTGCAAATTAACTTTTTACCCCCTCCCAGGCTGTAGCTCAGCCCCTGGCTGGACAAAGCGACCCTTTAGGGCGCTGGAGAAGAGAGGGAGGAGGAGGAGCAGCAGCCTCCCAGATATTCCCTGTGCTTTGGAAAAGCTTTATTTCAACTTAGCGATGCTCACAGGGGCAACACGGCCCCGGCCGCCGCGTCTGCCCAAAGGTGAGCTCGCCTTTGAGATGCCGGTGGAGGAGGCGAAAGGGAACCTGCACGGGCCGTGCGCTGCATGCGATATTTGGCTTTTTTAATGAGTGGTACTTAATGTCAGCAAGAGCTGGGGCGAGGTGAAGGCTCTGGGGAGGACGAGGGCTCTGGCCAAGGCAGCCTGCCCTGCGGGGAGGGGAGAGTGCAAAGCTCAGTCGTCTCATCTCTTCGCCGGGGACGTGTCCGTGCCACCAAAGGTGGTCGGGTTGTGGGTGGCTCCGGGAAGATGGGGGGGGGCTGGCAGGACCCCGGGTCTCACAGCTCGGATGGGTGCAGGGTGCTCGGGCACGGAGAGGACCGAGGGCGGGTAGATAAATGTGATGTGGCACTTCAGCTTCGTACCAGTGACCTGCCATGGAGCTGAAAGCATCTATCACCGCTCCTTGGCGGCATTATCTGGAGCTGTTTAACTGAAGAAGAGACACTATAGGAGCCTTACTCTGTCCCAGTGCATCGCCTCCTTTTATTCAGCAAGCACCTTCTTCGTGGAGGCTTTTCTGGTTTGTTTTTAACCCAGGTGCCCTGGTTTCAGCTGGAACAGAGCTAATTTTTCTTCTTAATAGCTAGAAAAGTGCTGTGTTTTGGATCCAGTGTGGGATTTGGTGTGAAAAGAATATTGACAACGAGTCGAAGTTTTTAGTTGTTGCTGAGAAATCAAGGACTTTTCAACTCCCCGTGTCCTGCCCCTGGGTGGGTGCACACGAAGCTGGGAGGGAGCGTGACCAGAGCACTGGACCCAAACTGGGCAGGGAAATTATTCCATAGCGTGTAACGTCCTGCTCGGTGTGTAGGGGAGGGGTGGCCGGGAAGCCCTCGCTCTCACTCTTCTGGGATTGTGGTTTTGGGGTTTTCTCTCCTCTGGGATCACTGGCCGGGGGCAGGCTGGGCATCAGTCAGTGGATGGTGAGCAACCACGCTGTGCGTTACTCGTTGGTACATTCTATTATTACTATTTTAATTTTATTTCAGTTATTAAATTGTTTTCATCCCGACTTACGAGTCTCTTCACCCTCGCAGGTGCGGATCTGGGAGATCCCCGAGGGCGGCTTGAAGAGGAACATGACGGAGGCCGTCCTGGAGCTGTACGGGCACAGCCGCCGCGTCGGCCTCGTCGAGTGGCACCCCACCACCAACAACATCCTCTTCAGCGCCGGCTACGACTATAAGGTGAGCCCTGCCCGGCTCCTCCTGCTCGGCCACTGCCCTTCCAAAGTTTTTCCCTGCTCACGGCGTGGAGGGGGAGTCACCTGTGTGTAGCTGGGGCAGGATCCTGCCGCCTGGAATAAAACGAGCCGCCGTGTCTGCAGCAGGAGGCACCTTCCCCTCGTGCGAGGGTTTTGCACCCGGTCGTAAGGACTGGTTTAATTTTGCACAGGCGGCAGCTTCAGGGCAGCGCTGGGAGCAGGGAAGGGGGCTCTGAGGGGGCAGTTTCAGCCAAAATAGGAGATAATAGGCTCGATGTCCAAGTGGAGAGAGGTGACGAGTGACGTTCATCGGGGGTCGGGTTGGGCCCGGCGCTGTTTAACGTCTTTGTTGGGACATGGACAGTGGGATGGACGCACCCTCAGCGAGTTCCCTGGGGACACGCTGAGGGCAGGGATGGCATCCCGAGGGACCGGGACAGGCTGGAGAGGAGGGGGTCAACAAGGGCAAGGGCCTGCCCGGGGGTCGGGGCAATCCCCAGCACAAACCCCGGCTGGGCGAGGGGCGGCTGGAGAGCAGCCCCGAGGAGAGGGGCTGGGGGGGATGAGTGGCTGGAAAAGTGCCCGTGAGCCCAGAACCCCCCCGTGCCCTGGGATGCAGCCAGAGCAGGGGGGGCAGCGGGGCCGGGGGGGGATTCTCCCCCTCTGCTCCGCTCTGGGGAGACCCCCCTGCAGTGCTGGGGCCAGCTCGGGGGCCCCCAACAGCAGAAGGACCCGGAGCTGCTCGAGCGGGGCCAGAGGAGGCCACGGAGATGCTGGGGGGGCTGGAGCAGCTCCCCTGGGGGGCCGGGCTGAGAGAGTTGGGGGGGTTCAGCCTGGAGAAGGGAAGGGAGACTTTGTTGTGGTCTTTCCATATATAGGGGGCTTATAAGATGGAGAAAGACTTATGATCGAGGTCTATAGGACAAGGGACAATAGTTTTGAACTGAGAGAGTGTAGGTTTAGATAAGCTATAAGGGAGATGAGGATGGTGAGGTGCTGGCCCAGGGTGCCCAGAGCAGCTGTGGGTGCCCCCTCCCTGGAAGGGTTCAAGGCCAGGTTGGACGGGGCTGGGAGCCCCCTGGGCTGGGGGAAGGGGGCCCTGCCCGGGGCAGGGGGTGCCACTGGGGGGGGATTTGAGGTCCTTTCCACCCCAAACCACTTGATGATATTAAGATGCCTTGAAGCAGACGTGGAGGCTGCAGGAGGGGGGGGGGGGGGTGCTCTCCGGGAGTGGAGGCGCCGGGGCAGCCTCCCCGCTTCCCGCAGGTCCTCATCTGGAACCTGGACATCGGGGAGCCGGTGAAGATGATCGACTGCCACACGGACGTCATCCTCTGCATGTCCTTCAACACGGACGGCAGCCTCCTGGCCACCACCTGCAAGGACAAGAAGCTGCGGGTGGTGGAGCCGCGCTCTGGCAGGGTCCTGCAGGTGCGGTGCTCGTGCCGGGGGTGGGGGGCTGCGTGCTGCACGGCATTCAGGGGGGTTAGAAATAAGTTTTTGGGGAGGAACCCTAGTGAAACGTGTAAAAAGATCTGCGAGGCGCTGTACGTACTTGTGATGGTTTGCATGCTTGGGGGTCTGCAGGTGGTTGAAATTAGGCGGGGGATGATGCTCAGCCTCACCCCAGGCACAGGAGATTGGAGGCTTTTACTCTTTTATTAATTAAAGATTTGTGGAAAACAATAGAAATTAGGGCGGAAAGAAGCAGAAAGTTCCAGATAGAGCCACAGTTTGGAGGAAAGTGGTGGTTTCTCAGTAAAGCTGATATCTCGGATTCAGGGAGATGGGTGTTTTTGTTTTGCACAGGGGCCAGGCGCTGAATCGCGGTGCCTCCGGGCCGGCGTTTCACTGGGACGAGGCGGGAAATGTGCTTTGGGGGGGCGGCAGGTCGGGGTACCTGCCAAGGGAAAGGGGCTTTGCTTTGGCGGGGGCCGGCTCTTGGGGGGGCCACGGCGGAGATTTGGGGGGGTGGGGGGGGGGTGTGGTTCTGCCTGCCAGCACGCTCCTGTCTTGCAGGAGGCCGGCTGCAAGAACCACCGGGTCAACCGGGTGGTCTTCCTGGGCAGCACGAAGCGGCTGCTGACGACGGGGGTGTCGCGCTGGAACACGCGGCAGATCGCCCTTTGGGACCAGGTGGGTGCCGGGACCCCCCCCTGCTCCCCCAACCCCGCTTAGCACCAGCATCTTGGTTAACAAATTTTTTTTTTTTTTTTTTTTTTTCCCTGTCGCGCAGGAAGACCTGGCCATGCCCCTGATAGAGGAGGAGATCGACGGGCTCTCGGGTCTCCTCTTCCCTTTTTACGACGCCGACACTCACATGCTGTACTTGGCTGGCAAGGTACGGGCTGCGCTTCGCCTCTCGTGCTGGGAGTCATCATGGGTTTTGTTCAACCTCATGTTTGGCAAAGCACTGAACCATCCCTCTTCCCTGCGCTCACTCCAGGGCGACGGTAACATTCGGTACTACGAGATCGGCTCGGAAAAACCCTACCTGAGTTATCTCATGGAGTTTCGCTCCCCGGCCCCGCAAAAAGGACTGGGTAAGGATGGCTGCGGAGCTGGCCCTTCGCTCTGAACACGCAAAAAAGGTAGAGGATGGAAAGTGCTTAATGAAGTGCTGCTTGTAAATGGGTTTGGCAAGGGTTCAGCGGGCGCTGTGCCGGCTCTGGAGCATCGACGCGGGGCTGCGGTGTTTGCAGGGAGGTGTTGGCATTGCTGTGCTGCCCTTCCTGCGGTGATGTAGCCGGGCTGGGGCTGGGTCCTGAGTGGGAGCACGCCCGGTGCCACCCTCCCTGCTGTCACACATGCCACGGCGTTACCAGGGGACATCAGTGATTTGTCCTGAATAAAAAAAAACCTGCTCATCCCTTTTCCAATGTCCCTGCAAATGTCCCCGGCGTGGCCCAGGTCCCCCCCACCTCCAGATCCCCGGGGATTAATTTAGTAAAAATCCTGGGTCTCATGATGGAGTTCAAGGGCCTTTTTTGGGGGGGTGCCCGGGGTTTGCAGCACCCGGGGGGTTATCGTCTGCGCCTCCTCTGCAGGGGTGATGCCGAAGCACGGGCTGGACGTGACGGCCTGCGAGGTCTTTCGTTTCTACAAGCTCGTCACCCTCAAGGGGCTGATCGAACCCATCTCGATGATCGTGCCGAGGAGGGTGAGTCCCCCGGGGGCGGGGGGGTGGCCGAAGCGGGGGCCGGGTGTGGTGGGGGTGTCCCCGCTCGCACCGCTTGGCCGACCAGTCCCACCGCTGGGTCTCCCTGCACCAGTCTTACACCTCCCAGGTGGTTACACTTCCCAGGTGTGGGATTCCCAGGGGATTTTTCCCCAAGGCTTAAGGGGGAATTTTTTTTAGAAAATGCATCTCTGCATTGCTCCCGGCCTCGATGCGATTGTTCTGTGGGAAATCAGCTTGGTCCCTTGGGATGGGTGGCAAGGGGCTTGTCTCGCCTGAGCTTTGGGGCTGTTTCTGATAAAACTTGGGAGCTGGAGCAGGTTCCCAGGTTCTGCCGCTGCTCATCCTCCTCCTCCGGCCCCTCGGCTCTGCTGCCGGCAGCCGACCCGTGCCCCGAGCAGGCAGCACTGGTGTTTCTCATCTGCCTTAATGGTGCAAACACCAGTTTTTTACTTCCCCGGCTGCGCTGCTGCATGCCAAAGGGGTGAGCGCACCCGTTCGCAGCACGTTGCGACGTGTGATTAAAATTGCGAGCAGGTTCACAGAGGGGGGGGGGGGGGGGGCGGTTGCTTTCCTTTTTCCCCGCGGATTTTTAGTCAGAAACGTACCAAGAGGACATCTACCCCATGACGCCGGGTACGGAGCCAGCCCTCACGCCGGATGAATGGCTGAGCGGGGTGAACAGAGGTAAAGCAGGGGGGGTGGGGAGGGGGGGGCAGCACGGAGCCCCAAAAACGGCCGGGCAGTGGGATGGGACCGCAGCCCCCCGCCTTGACCCCATCCCGCGCTCTGCCCCGCTCAGATCCCATCCTGATGTCGCTGAAGGAGGGCTACAAGAAGACATCCAAAATTGTCTTTAAGGCACCGGTGAAGGAGAAGAGGAGCGTTGTCGTTAACGGCATAGACCTGCTGGAGAACGTGCCGCCCCGGACGGAGAATGAGGTAGGGGAGCGCGGCCCGGGGATGGGGGGGGACAGGGGGGGACCATTTTCCAGGTGCAGCTTGGAAAGCCACAACTCTGCTTGTCCTCCCCAAACTGATGTGCCTGGGCCCCACGCTTCCCGCTCCGCATTAACCCCAGAGCACCCAAAGGGAACGGTGTTAAACTCACTCCTGATTTTTTTTTTTTTTTTGATTTTTTTTTTTTTTTTTTAATTAAAATCCTTCTCTGGGAACAGCATATAGTGGCGCTTTGGAAACATCAGCGCTTGGTCCCGGAAGGATTTTGTTTGGTTGGAGCTGAGTTTGCAGGTTGCCCCCGAGGCTGGAGGGTGAAATATTCAATCCGGGAGAGCAGGCAGCGCGGCAGATGAAGTCGTGTTGTAAAAGCAGCGGAATTAGGAAAGGCCCCCCAGCACAGCTCCGGGGGGGGGGGGCGAGCGGCTGGCGTGGTCCCTCCATCTCCCCCTCCCTTCCCTTCCAGCTCCTTCGGATGTTCTTCCGACAGCAGGACGAGATCCGGCGGCTGAAAGACGAGCTCTCGCAGAAGGACATACGGATCCGCCAGCTACAGCTGGAGTTAAAAAACTTACGTAACAACCCGAAGAATAATTAACTTCCAGGGACGTTTTATAAATAAACTCTCCGTTTATACTTGCTCTTTAATTTTATTGTATCCACTTACCCAGAATATGAGCCAGAAGTCAAGTGACCTGCCAAGAGCCCACTCGCTAACTGGAAATACGTCCTCCTAGTCTTGTCTAGCACTAAAACCGCTATAACCGAAAGCTACTGCATGAGAGGCGGCTGGGGCACCCCCGTGCCCCCGCGACGGTCTTGGAGTAAGTAGACGAGCCGTGTCCCCTCCGTCGGGATCAACCGGCCCGGGGGGAGCCGAGGTGGTGGCCGTTCCCCGGGGAAAACGCGATGCTTTGTTGCTATTAATATTTTTTTTTTTTTTTTTTTTTTTCCTATGCAAAAATGTGACGGCGGGTGCAGAACTGGAACGGGGTGTGGGAAGGGCTTAAATTCACAAAAGCGCGGCGGCAGCCCCGGGACTCTTCCCGGGGCGGTGGTGGCCGTGGCACCTCCCATGGGGACGGGAGCTGCTCCCCCGTGCGTGCACCTCTCTCCTTTAAATAACAAAAAGAGGCTGGGTTTCCAAACCCGAGAGGGATCTTGGTACCCTCCTCCTTTACAGTGCCCTGGGGAGGGGGAAGGATGTCACCCAGCCCGGCCCCAGGGATGGACCCAGCGGGTGCTGGAGCTGCCTGGGCGCTCGGTGGGTTTAGCACCTGTGTATAATCACTGGTTTTTGTGGATTAGGCCTGTGGCACAGAGATAGACACCAAATACTGCTAGTTTACCTATATATATATATATATATATATATATTTTCATTAAATCCACTGCCCAGCACTACCAGTACACCAGTTTCTCCTCTCCGTTAACTTACATTGTGCCCCGCACCCACTGCTTCCCCCTCTTTGTTACATGTGCTGTCATTGCCTATTATTTATGCTACTACGGAATAGTGATGAAATAAAATGTTTTCAAGATACCAAACCCTTGCCCGCTCCTTCCTTTCTTCGCCAAGGGGCTGTGCCGGAGCGCTGGGCCCCGCTTGAGGACGGGTGGTGGGACCCAAAGGGGTGTTTTTTTTGGGCGGACAGGGGTGTTTTCTGCTTGTGCTGCAGCTCAGCCCCGGGGCTGGGAGGTCCCTGCAGGGTTGAGGGGTGGTGGCCGGAGGCTCGGCTCGATGTTTTGGGGTGGCTGCTGGGGGGTGCAGCACGAGGAGCAGATGGTGGGATTGGGGCTGCCGGGCTCCCCGGCGAAGCGAGTGGCTGGGTGGGGGAATGGATCACAGAACGGGTTTGGGTTGGAAAGGGCTTTTGAAGGCCACTTAGTCCAACCCCCCCTGCGGCAAGCAGGGCCATCTTCAACTCCAGCAAAGCCCCGTCCAACCTGGCTTTGAACATCTCCAGCGCTCGGGCATCTACCACCTCTCTGGGCACCCTGGGCCAGCGCCTCACCTCCCTCCCAGGGAAGAATTTCTGCCTTAGATTTCATCTAAATCTGTCCTCTTTTAGTTTAAAAACCCTTACCCCTCATCCGACCGCTACATCCCCTTCTAAAAAATTCTGTCTTTATCTTTTAGGCCCCTTATGCTGAGACTGGCCCCACATTTGCAGATAAAATGGTAAAATGCAGAGGTTCTGCAGCCACACGAGCAAGAGGGCAGCGTGAGGGACGCCGAGCTGGAAATACAGCTTGAAGCTTGCTTTTTTTTTTTTTTTTTTAATTTTGGCGTCAGGACTGGAGTTTCCTGGTCTTACCGTGTCTCATAACTGGAAGGTGAATCCACTGTTAAAGCACAGCTCAGCTGCTTCGGGCAGAGCAGCGCCGGCTTCGTCCCGTTTGAGGTTATTTATGTCTGATGGCCTTCTTCAGAGGGGGGGTGTGGGGACTTACCGCACTAAATTATCGCTAGTAAGGGAAGAGCCAATGTTTCTCCAAAGCCCCTTGAATCCGTGCGAAACGAGCCCAATTACGGCTGCGGGTGGTGATGATTAATGAGCCAATTAGCATATCTGCAAACATCAGCACCAATCCAGCGGCGGTTGCTACCTCTGCTGCAGGTGAGGGGGATGGCTCGGGGTGCGGAGGCGACCGATGCAGGATGTGGACCCCCCCCCACACACACGCACCCCCCCCGGCTCTGGGTGGGTTTCAGCGTGTGGCTTACCTTTGCAAAAAGTGCTCACGGGGCTCCCCAAACGGTTGGGATTCACCAAAAAAATCTCCGTGGCTGCGCCGTTTCCAGGGCGAACCCTTCACGGGGATCTCGCTGCTCCTCTGCTTGCGCCTTCCCTCCCGCACTCCCCTCTCTCGGTAACAGCTTGAGCTTTTCCCGACGTTTCCTCCTGCACCATCTGGGTGCTATTTAAAGCAAAAAGGCCTTTTTTTCTTTTTTTTTTTTGGGGGGGGGGGGTACTTGATACAGGCAATTTTAGCACCGACTTCCCTGCGCTGCTCCAACCTCGTGACTCGGCCGCGGAGCAGGGGCCCCGTGCAGCTGGGTGCAATCCTGCAGCGCCGCAAGGACCCGCTGCATCACCCCTCACCCCGGTGGTTTTGGGTCTCTTGGGAGACATCCCTGCCCTGTTGTGGGGTTTTTTAGATGTTTTGAGGTAGCTTGCAGTTATTTTCAGAGTCTAAATGAGACCAATGAGCCTGTAACCTCCCGGCTTTTTTTTTTTTTTTTCTCCTGTCCTTCTTGCAGACATCACGATTTCTTTAAAGCCTCCCAGCTGCTCCTTGGTCCTGCAGTGTGAGCAGAGCTGATCCCTTGCTCTCCAGGACCAGCCCCTCCAGGAACTTTATCCAGCCTCAATAATTCACAAACATCTAATTTATCTGCAGCAGCTCCCAAGCTGTCCCCAAATCCAGGCTGAGGTCTCACCCTTCCTGCACAGCTGCTAATTGCAATTACCTCTCCATCACAGCTGACATCTTCAGGGATAACAGGTTTTAAGGAAAAAAGCTTACAGATCTCAGCTGGCCATAGCAGACAGCCCCTTCCTTCTTCAAAGAGGGCCATGGGGTGATTTCTTTCCTCCTTTGTTTTTTCCCCTCCATATTAATGCTGTCCCTCTGTGCTCATCCTTATCAACCTGACCTACTTTCTGCTTCCTGGAGGTTTCGCTTTGTTTGAGGCCTGGCCTCCTCGTACGCTTCCTAGCTGCAGGATTATTCTTCTTAAATCTTTGCTTTCCAACATTTTGTGAGTGTCTGCTTGAAATTATTCCTGGTGATTAAACCCCGCCCCCCCCACCCCACCCCACTCCCCGAATTCATAGATGAAGATATAAGATCTGGGGTTTGAAATCTAAAATTAAGGAAATGCAGAAGAGAAGTCACTATGGGTATTATTTTAATTAAATGGGAGTTTCCCATCAATTTGCTGAGGACGAGTGCTGGTCCCTCCTTTTTCTGACATCCTTAAAATCAAGGGGTGCTTTGCACTCACAGAACTTGGCCCCGTTTGGCTCAGCAGCTCCAGCCGCACACTCAGGGACCCTCTGCTGTTTGCTCAATGCCCTCACAGCAAAAAATTATTAGAAATGTTTACAAATCTAGTGCTTTTTTTAGAAATTATCCATTGCTGACCTAAAGCCAGATCCCCAGAATCCAGCATCCCCGTCCCCTCCTGGGAAGAGGCTTTTAAACACCAAAAAAGGGAATTTGGTGCTGAAACTGCACCGGGATTCGTGCAGCAGCTGGCTGCTTGTCTGGGCACCGTGGCAAGCGCCGGGCATGTGCCACGTGCCACATCAACCTGCCCTCTAAGGACCGACGGCCGTGCTTGGACATACCCACTTCAGCCAGATGTTGCTGCTCCAGATGTTCTGTAAAGGGCTCAGCAGGGAAACACCTCGTCGCCTGCCTTACTGCGCGGCAGCCAGCTTCAGAACAGCGCTGGAAAATCACAGTAAAATTAGCAATTGCGGCAAAACTGTAATGTTTGGGGCAAGGACCAGTGGTGTGCTCCCAGGGGAAGGTGTTGGGGGTGAAATGCTCACCCGGTGCCACCTCTGCCGCCGCCTCTCCTCTCTGCACACCCTTGGCACGTGTCAAGTGTCCGAGTGGAATGGAAAAATAAATACTTCCAAGGGAAAGTGTTAAAAGTCTTGCCAAGAAGTTCTTCACCGGGTTTTTATTGGCTTAGGGCAGAAGGAGCAAAACCAGCGGTGACAGCCACCAGCTGACAGCGGAGGAGTCGCACGGGGACGTTACCTGGATCAGGCGAGAGCTGCCGAGCTGAACAGAACAGCAAAGTACATTTAGAGAAACACCAGTGGGAGTTAATGGGAGATGCTCGGACAGAAAAAGCATTCAGGTTTTCCAGTTGAAGGGGGAGTGATAGCTGCAGCTCCTGAACCACACCCCCCCACCCTCTGACTGCAGCCCGTGTCCCACCCTGTGCTTACCCCCACCCCCCGACAGCGTTAATCCCCCACCACTAACAACCCCTTGCCCGCTGCATGAAGCAAAAGAGCGGGTGAGTATTTGAAGCCTCCCTCGGCGACGCGTGCAGCCCCGGATCAGGGCGCTGCCGCCGCCGGAGCCTCGCCTGGGAGAAGGGTGAGGGCAAGCAAAGCCGTGGGCCGCGCAGGGCGATGGCTTCGCCCGCTGCCGTGAGGGAAGGAAAAGGAGGAGAGCTCTCCCAGCTCCGGTCGGGGAGGTGGGAGGAATCGTTTGCAAGAGCGGTGAGCTGGGAGGCCAAGGCAGAGGCAGTTCCCGGCCTCTGGGCACCCGAAAAGCATCGCGGTCCTTCTCCGGGACCTACCTGCCGCCAGCCTCCGGCGAGCGCAGCACCTCCATCCCATCCCTCAGGTTGCCCGTTTGCTTTTTGCTGGAGCCAGGCTGCGGGTCGTGCTCCGGAGGGGCTGGCAGGGCGCAGGCAGCAGCTGGGGGGGGGTGTCCTCACCGCAAACCCCGCGCCGGGGTGTCCTTCCCCCCCCCCGCCCGCAGAAACGGCCGCTGCCGGCCCAAACCTCAGCCCAAAACTGCGCGTCTGCTGCTGGCACAGGTCGATCAGCACAGGGACATCAGGAACTAAACTCCAGGAAAGTTGTTTTCCCGTCGGGATGAGCTCCACGCAGCCGGGTTCTTCATCACGTCTCGGTTTTCAAGTGCTCTGCCGTCCGCTTCTTCCCTTAACGTCGGGGAGTGAAAAATCCTCAGCCATCTCGCTCCCGGGGCTGAAGTCTGCAGAGGTTTCTAAATTTCAGCAGGGGATGATTCATTCTTACTGAAACATAAGACAGCTTTCAAGACATGTGTAAGAGCTTCTTGGTGGAAGCGGGGATTGCTCTGCGGAGAGCTGGGGCAGTGATTTAATGGATCCAAAGCATCGCAGGGCAGGGCAGGACCCCAGACTCACGGTGTCAGGAATCCACGTTTGGCAAGGCTGGGCAGTTGTTAAACTGCCTGCAGACCCGCAGGATTTGCCTCTCTCTACACCCAAATCTCACCTCAAAGCGATCTGGAATATATACACGTGGTGGAGCAAGCAAGGCGAGTCCCCCACCTGGGGCAACTGGGTGAAGGAATAGCTTTCCCTGACTACCACCCATTCCTAAACTGTAAGAAAATATCATTTAAACTACCGCTGCAGAGTTCAGAGCCTTGGCTTACCCAGGCAGGCAGTCACCTCCTCCTGTATAATTGGATAACGTTGACAACCATTTGGGCTTGGAAAGCCTTCCTGACCTTCACCAGAGTCCTGCGCCCTTGCTTTAAACACCACAAATAGTTCAGGTACAAGAAAGCATTATCAAATCAACCAAGGAGAAGCCGTCCTCGAGGGTGCCAGAAATGCAAACACTTAGGCCATTATGTTATTAAGGCTATATGGATTTGCAGTCCCCATACGTTCAGCTTGGCACGTAACAATTTTGACCAAGAGCATCTTGTTCCCAGCTTGCATACGCTGACAGGCGCTGCACAACCCCGAGCAACACAGGAGAGAGGTTCTGTTTGTGAGGAGGGGTCACAAACCAGGCTGGAAAGCCCCAGCAGGACATTTTAGCTGGTCTGAGCTTTAGAACAGGCTCAGGACAGCAAGGCAAAACAAAGCACCCAGGGGAAGAAACTCTTGGGGCTTCTCTGAAACGGGAGCCAAGGGAGGGCTTTGCTTTTCCATGAAGAACCTTTCCCCAGCACTTGGCAAGTTCCAGGTAAAACCAGTTTCGTGCCACACGTAAGGATGAATGCACAGAAAGAGAACGTTTGGGGCATCTGGAAAACACCAGGCTCCGTCCCCGCAGCTCCTGCCTGGGCAGATCTATCTGCCCTAGACCGCTGCATGACCAGGGCTCTTCAAATTACCGCGTGGTTAAAAGGCAAACTGTGAGCAGAAAGAGCCAAGCGACACAAAAACTTGGCATTTGAATGAGCTGAACTCCCTCATTATTCATTTCTGACAGCATTTCTACCTGGGTTTTCCTGCTGAACCGTTATAAAATCCTGGGGTTTGGGGTTTTTCCAAGAGTTGGTAAGTTGCTAAGTATCATTGCAAGTTGCTAAGTATCTTTAGCTAGCACGATGTGCACACGGAGTGTTTGAGAAAACAAGCCCTTGGTTCTGTGTGACAAGACTGTACTTCTGTAGTATGAAATATGAAATAACTCTGAAATTATCCACATCGGGCACACCTCGTTTTTGTTTTCAGCGGCAGCTGGCAGGCAGAAGCCACTCGGGTTTCCCCCCCTCCCAGCACACGCAGTCCAAACCTCGTTGTTCATCAGAAAATCGCCTCCCCCCGCCCCTCGTCAGCACCGCGCAGCCGACAGGACCCTGCTGCGCAGGGAGAGCAGGCAGGGCTGGCAAAGGCCTTGCTGCCGTTTTCTTTGGGAAAACTCATTAATTCCGAAGTAAGCTTTGAAACGGCACAAAGAGAAGAGTCACTTCAGTGACACCTGGGCAATTCACTGCTTACACAGGGTGAAGAAGCTCAAGGGTTTCTGAATGCTTCCAGGGCAGGAAGAAAAAACTGCCGGCCAGCGGTGGCTCGCCAGAGCCCAGGGGTTAAACCAAATGTTAAACCAAATGTTAAACCAAATGTTAAACCAAATGTTAAACCAAATGTTAAACCAAACGTCAGGGACGTTCACCTGGGCGTCCTCCTTCGCTGCATGCCTGGGACCTGCAGAGGCTCATCACGCAGGGTCGGGTCCAGCTGCCGGCGATTGCTTCTGACCGCTCGGGTCAAAAAGCGGTGTCTTTGGAAAGCCACGTCCCCTGGTATAAAACCAAAGCCCTGGACTAAGCTGGTTTAGAGTGACCCCAGGGCTCTGTTGGGCTCGTTGCTGGAGCCGTGCTGGCCCTGCCCCTGCGACAGCTGGGGCTGGCGGTTGCCTTTTGCTTTGCAGGAGCCTCCTCCTCACAGTTTCGGGTTCAGGGCAGCAGAGCCTGGCTGGGGAAGGAGGTTTGCCCAGATGGATTTCCTCTTCCAAAAACCCGACCAAACAAAAAACCCCACCCTACACAAACACTGCGGGGAGAGTGTAGCTTCCCACCTACAGTAAAGGCATGGTTTTTTTCCAAAGAGATCCAGTGAAGATGGAATAGACGATTCTCCACAGCTTCTCATGCTCTTGCACGACACAGAAACCTAATTTTAAGTACAGAGAATATGCCACTTGCTATGCCATTCCCCTTTAATACACAACTCATTCACAAGAGAGGAAAATGAGGAGACTTAGCTCTGGACTGGCAGAAAGTCACAGCAGACAGCCCTGGGCTCGGATGACCAAAGCTCCTAGACAGACTAACCCAGAACTCACACCCCGAACCACAGCACCGCACGCAGACGAAGGAAATCAAGACTTCTTTCTTCTCAGCCTGGATAAACAGGGATAGGATTAAACAGCAGAAACGAACATGCTTAACTGCAATAATCACGCTGGTAACACAGAAGAAACCCTCATTCTGAAAGGAAAATGGCATACCATTATTTGCGTCAAAGCCGCCACCTCTCCCTTGGTTTCACCCAACCATGGCTAAGAGTAGGTTTTTATGGAGCAAAATGTATCATCAAGCTACTAAAAATATCAGGGAATTTACCGGAATAGCTTAGTAAATGCCTTTTTAAGAAGGTATGCAACTTCTTCCCAGTGGCCCATTTTACTCAAATAAGCCACAGAAAAATTGTATAAAAAGATTTATTGAAATTCATCAATGACAAACAGACATAAAACTCAAAGTTTGGCTCTTCTGGGAAAAAAAAACAAAAAAAAAAAAAAAAAAAACTGTTGCAAATGTATTTATACAGATGAAATATTGACTAGGAAATACAAGTCACTTCTAAAGCTATTTTAAAGAGGGATATGAAAGTAAAACTGTACATTCACTAGGTATTTTCAGTCATTTTACTGACTTCCACTAGGTAAGAAAATACAATTTTGTATTAGTATCTCGTGCTTGAGTGTATGAAAAGAAACCTCCTACCCTACATGCTGAACTGCCTCCTGTATTTAGGTTTGTAAAAATTTTCAAAGTATATAGCACAAGTGGAAGTAGTTTCTCATCACTTAAAATTGACTAGGTGTTATATATTACAGACCAAAATAGTACACACCTTATTTAAAAGGGTTGAAACATTTTTTTATTACAATTGTCAAATTCATTTCACTAGTAACTCAGGAATTAGGAACACTTTTTATATATATTTATATATATATTTAAATGCCTGCCATTTTCAGTGTATTGGCTATACCCTAGCCAAAAAAAAAAAAAAAAACAACCAAAACCCCCAAAAACAAACAGAAAGGAAAACACACAACACACAGGGTGGGGAAGAAGAGGGCGGGGGGGGGGGGGGGATTGCAAATTCACCCCACAAACCAGATCCAAAGGAACACCCCAAAAAAACCCAACAAAAAACATTTGGTCACTATTTACAAACAGCAAAATAAAAGGTACCTACAAAAGCAGGGAAAGCATCGGCTGAAAATGGCAGTCATTCACGGACAGGCAACAAAGAAATCACTTTATCAATATGCCATTCTCACACCTGTTGCTGTGGAGGGACGCTTGGCCTCATTTTGCAGCATCCCCCAAAAAATGCTCACAATGTCTTGTTTAGTGACTGGCAGCGGTGGAAAAATCCCAACAACCAACACTATTCAGCTGCCTCGGAACAGAGTAAGTGTCTTTGGGGTATCATCCACTGATTTTAAAACTTTTTTGTTTTTGTTTTTGTTTTTTTTTTTTTTTAAAAGATGTCAAACTACCCACTCCAATAATAAGAAACAAATTACCACTTGGTTTATACTTACTATTGCAGTTACAGGGACTAAGAGAAGGACAAAAAGAAAAAAATTTAAAATGAATAGGAGGAGGAGTGGCAGTAAAAATAGTATTTTATTCCCTTGCCCACCCAGTCTGCTTCTCCCTCTCGTTCCCACAGCAACATTACAATCAGAAAAAAAAAAAAAAGAAAAAAAAAAAAAAAGAAAAAAGAAAAAAAAAAAGAAAAAAAAAAAGGTTGGGGTTGTGGGGAGGGGAAATACAGGGTAAAAACAGTCAAATCACAATAGGAAATTTTCAAAATAGGTTATTCAGTTTAGTCATCTTCATCCCCTTCGTCTTCAGGTTCTCGTTTTCTCTTCTGTCCCCGTTCCTCATCTAGAAAATAAAAGACAACTCGAGTTATGTGAGTGCTCCCTCACGCTGCTGAGAAGCTGAACAAGTTCAACAAGCTTCTACTTTGGCAACTGGCTTGCTATCAAAGGAGTAGGAATACAATCATGAGCTTGCTTTTTAGAAAATGGTATTTTACTTTTTTTTTTGAAAAATAAAAAGAGTATTTTATCTCTAGCAAAAACTGGATTGCTGCCATACCGGGCTCTTCTTCATCTTCATCGTCATCTACCTCGCCATCGTTGTAGCCTTCTTCATCCTCCTGGATTTAAAAAAAAAAAAAGAAGGATTAAAAAAGTCGGTTTCAGTGCAGGACCTTTCACAATTTGGCAATATCCAACAGCATTTTACAATAAAGTCCTTGAAGCATCTTAAACAAAAATCAAACAAAAAGGCAAACGCTTCCCACGCACTTATATAAGCGCGTTTTTTTGCTACAGTATAACTGGACTCTGGCCCAAGTTTCACTGCAGAAAATCACGAGCAATCAGAGCAGCTACTTCTAGCTTCAAGTCTTCAGCGAGAAAATGGTTTTATACTTCATGCCGATAATTAGCTGCAAATTTTGTTACGACGTCCTGAGTTTAGTAAAACTTGACAACAAAGGTGCGTGTTCTAGGGGTAGAGAGAGCCGAAACACAAACAGGCATCTCCAGAGCCTGAGGAGCTGCCGTTGGTTTTAAGAAGAGGCTGACCAACCCTTCAGGAGCAGCAGAGATTGCTTGGCCACAGGAGAGAGAATACGACACCCTACAGGCAAATTTCAGCCCCATCCCAGTGGCTGGGCTAACAGCAAAGTCTCAGCAGACCGTGACTGGCTCAGCACACCCTACACACAGGAGCTGGATGGACTGTGCCAAGAATTTAAGCATCCTGAGGAACCACAAGGTTCATGCCCAAGGAGGAACCTCGCTCTGAGAGCACAGTCAGTAATCCACGTCCCACCCTCCGTACAGAGGCTGTCACCCCAAGCCCTTCAATGGCCCCACAAACTACATCTGCAAACGTTCCCCATCGTATTTTTGACATCAGCCCAAGAAACGGAATGATTTCGTGGCAATGGTCACTAGATGGCAGCTGGCTCATAGACAGGCACGCCTCAAAGCCACCCCCCCTCCGCTGCGATGCTTCTCAAGTAGAAAACCAAACACGCTCTTCAAGCACTTAAAAACTCCAATATTTGGTCCATTTCTTGCCCAACTACTCCCAGTCAGAGCACACTCACACCACACCCATTATTAACTGCATAAATCCTTACCTCCTCTTCTCCGCTCACATCCTCCTCTTCTCCTTCCTCCTCTTCCTCCTCATCTTCTTCATCTTCTACTACCTGAGCATCATCATCATACTCCTCTTCTATACAGTCAAACAAGATTAACCACTCAGATGTTTAAAAGTTTACTTTTTTCCAACACTGCCACCTGAGATCTGACCTCCTCCCGACAGAAGGAGCAAAGTGAGAGCACTGCTTCAGGGCAGTGCAGGACTAGAGGCAGCTCGCCAGCTGCAGTCCTGTCCCTCTTCAGCCCCGTGACAGGGTGGTGTGGCAGCTGCACCCCTGGTCTGAGCTGCTCCAGGGGCCTCGACAGTAAGTCTCAGGACAGCTTTGGCTTCAGCTGCTCCGGTTCCCCCTACTAATACGAATTTTTGAGCCCGTGGGACACTCGCAGCTCTTCATCTGCAAGTGTCCATCTGCTCCCACCAGGGACACCCCTTGCCCTTCTGCTGCCGGAGCAATACAAGAGGCTCACACCCAATCCTTCTTATGGGTTTGCAATCTCTTTTCAAGAGGAAAGAGATTAAATGCAACTAGCCCAAGCAACAAACCCGAAATTGGTTTTCCATGCTGCAGGAACGGGGTTTTGAAGCTTTTTCATGCGTTTGAATGCAAGCCCCGACTTGTGCTCTGGTGTGGACAACTGCGTGCTGCCGGCTGAACGCACCGCTCTGCCAGGCACTGCTGCGGCCCTCGCCCCTCGCACCAGAGCTCACATTCAGCACTCGAGGGAAAAGTGCAAGTCCAGCTATTCTGCTTTTGCTGTGCAGCTGGCTTTGAAGAGTCTAGCAAATTCCCCAAACTCAGCCGGATACTCATCCGACCGCTACGCTGCTGCCTCCGAGTGCAGTCTGCCGGGGAGGCAGAAGGGCACCTACAGCACACTGGGACCCACCGTGCATTTTCCTAACCTTAAAAAGCTGCTCGCTGCTTCATTAGTGCCTTTCGCAGAGCTTGCCCCAGGCAGACTCTCCTCTCTTCTGCCTGATCTCAACTAGTTCATTTTGTCCTCACCAAGCAGCCACAAACTCCTATTAATGCTTTGGCTCCTTTACTCGATTCCTTGACTCAGCTACATTTTTGTATGCCCAGGCTGGTTCTCCACCCTACCCTCCTCCGTCAGGCTCGCCACAACTGTTCATACTTCCTGGAAAACCGCAGCCTGTGCATGCCATCCTTTCTTACCCATTCCTGCCTTACATCCTCGTCCCCTGGGGTGTACCGTTCCCCCAACTCTTTCAGTGCTTTACTCCTGGCCCCTTTCCTCTAGCACCCCTTCACTCCCCACCTTTTGCTAGAAATATGACTGAGGAAGTAGCTCTTTCAGGCCCTGCCCATCTCCTTTCCCCTCGCTCCTTCAGAGGACACCGAGATACTTCTGCTTTACATCAGTTGGGAGGAGCTGCTGAGGACACCACTTCTCCCGCCGGCAAGCCAGAGGCGGAAGCAAAACGTACCACGCAGCAGATCAATCTTTCAACTTACGTACACCAAGTAGCACAAATTCACATACCGTCTTCATCCTCCTCCTCGTCGTCTAAGCCCTCCACGTAGCCCTCTGCATCAGAGTCCGGTGCTTCTTTGTCATCCCGATCTTTCACTAGAGATAAGACTGAGAAAGTAGCTCTTTCAGGCCCTGCCCATCTCCTTTCCCCTCGTTCCTTCAGAGGACACTGAGGTACTTCTCCTTTACATCAGTCAGGAAGGAGCTGCTGAGAACACCCTTCTCTTGCCAACAAGTCAGAGCTGGAAGCAAAATGTACTAGGCAGCATTATCGATCTTTTAACTTACGTACACTAAGTAGCACAATTCACATACCATCTTCATCTTCCTCCTCGTCGTCTAAGCCCTCCACGTAGCCCTCTGCATCAGAGTCTGGTGCTTCTTTGTCATCCCGATCGTAGCCATCGAGGTATGTGAGTTGCGGGAGGAGCTTGAATACATTTTCTCTATAATCGTTCAAGTTGGTTACCTCGCAATTGAAAAGATCTAGACTCTTCAGGTTTTCTAACTTTTTCTGCAAGGAAAGAGACGTCTCTGAAGTTCAGCGTTACAGCAATTCTCTACAGAGCAGAGGACGCAACAGCAGCCAGAGTTCATGCGCTTAAGAGCTTCCCATGACAAAAGGGTCACTTTGGTCTCTGCCTGCTAAATTGGTGTGGAGTAGAGATTTGTAGGGCCTGGCCGTAGCTGCTTGGGTATCTGAGAGTGGAAAGGGCTCTCGCTCAAGTTCAGCATCTCGCAAGTAGAGGACTCAGGTTTGGAAAGAGGTAATGGTGCAAAAAATCGCACGTGCTGTGAGGGGCCAAGCTAAGAGTAAGTAATAGTCCAGTCGGTTATCTCAAAAGCACGAGGCCAGATATTGGAGCCAGCGTCAGGTATATTTAAACTACTACTTTCAATGAAAGAAGAAACAGACTATGCTTTGGACACAAGACTTGTGCTAAGAGAGATTTTAAACATTCTAATGATTGGACCTTAGCCTTTGGAAAAATGAGAAAAGGCTTAGAAATTGAAGAGGAATTCAATTCCTGGTTTTAAATTTTTTTTTTTTTTTTTTTTTGAGGAGGTGGTCTGCATTGCCCACAGCCCTTCAAAGTACCAACCATAAAAGCACAAGCAGTGGAGGATTTGTATCAAGCCTTATGAAGTATCTCCCTTCTGGAGTTTAGCATGCAGAGCAACGGTGACATAAAGAAAACAATAAGCCTGAAACTGAGAGCAGTTACAATCCTCTCTCTCTCTCCTGTTTGCTACATGAGTTTAACAGCTCTGCTCTCCCCTTCTGCTGGGGGAAAGAAGATCCAAGATGAGAACTGCTCCTTGAGACATTTTAAGAGCAAGTATTTAGGAAAGAAGCATGAGCCAAAACTCCTCATTTCTGGAGAGCAAAGGGCACACAAAGCAAAAATTAGAAAAGAGCACTGCCAGAATTGACACTTTTGGAACCGCGACCCGACAAGCTTCATCTCAGCACTTGAAATAAGAAGCACAATGACCATGAGCAGGAGAGGTAAGGGAAACCAGCAGGAATAAGCGGGAAGCTGGGCGGCCTCTGGCCGGCCGCAGCAGCGAGCCCAGGAGGGCGGCACACAGGGCTGCGGCCGGCCCCTACCACCACCAGCGCACGCCGCGCCCCCGGCCCAAAGCGTTGGCTGGTGATTTTAGACCCACGGCTTCCGAGAAAAAACACAGCGAGCTCCAGCGGAGCGCCTGGGAGGCAGGGGCGGCAGCTGGGGCACGGAGGAACGCGGGGCTCCGGGGAGCAGCAGCCGCTAGAGGGAAGCAGCCGCCCGCGCTGGCGGCACGGCCCCGGGGGCACCCTGCCCCACAGCACCCCCCCCACCCGCCCCCCGGCCAGGCTGAGCCCACCCAGCCTGTCCCCAGAGATAAACGCCCCCCCCTCGAAACGCTCCACCGCGCTCTCCTCGTCACAAAGCCGGGGGTTTGGTTTCACCCCGTGCCGCGCTGACTTACCAGAGGTTCTATTGTACCGAGATCTTTTATTTTGTTGCCGCTTAGATTTAGATGCGTGAGGTTCGGACACTTTTCTGCCAACACTTCCAGTCCTCCTGAGATTCTGTTGTCGCTTAGCTCGAGCTGAAAGGCACACAAACATCTTGAGGTTTTAGTGCAAACATGTATCACAAAGCAGTTTGGTCTGCTAAATTACATTTTTATACAAACAACCACTTTACACGCATGGTGTAGTGCAAAGAGGGAGGGATATGGCACAGGACATTTTATTTACCTTCTTAAGTTTGTTTAACTTTGGTAAGTTTGCAACTGAGGTTAAGCCTACGTTGATTGTACTTAAGAATTCCAGCTCTTCAAACTCATCTGTGAGGCCTTCGATTTTGCCTTCGTATGACCTACAGTTGTCAAGAACGAGTTCTTTAACCTGGAAAGAGAACAATGAAAAATGTGCGTAAGACATTCTGCGTAGAGCAGAAGGATTTCACTCACAGGCAAAGGACGACACAGATCAGGCAAGAAAGAAAGGTATTCCAGTAAACTGGCAAGTACGCAAAAGGTTATTTTCAGTGTCTGATCCCTACTTCTGCTGGTATGGTCGGCAGTGTTTCAGAAACACAGATATTTGGCTTTGCTTCAACTGCCTACCTTTGTGTTGTTCTATAAACAATGTAAAGAGTTCAAAACCAATCATCTTGGCTTAATCAATTTGATTGTTAGAAGTAGCATCCTCTCTGGTCAACGTACGCAATAAGCGTTGTAAAACCCATGAAACCAACCTATTTATTTTTAAACTAACCTGCAACTTTTGACAGCTCGTACAACTCCTGTGCTATTACAACGTAGCATCAGCTGTTAGAACAGCCTCTCTCTGCACGCAAAAACGATTCGAGTTTTTCAAGCGTGGAGAGGTCACAGTCTCCTCAGACGCTCCTGAAACCTAAAGTTGGTACTGGTGATCCTAAACCAGGTCTTGCCGGAGCCCTCCAGGCTAGGGTAGCTTGCTGATGGTATTTTAGGGGGAAGATCTCCACTGAGGCAACTCCTTTCTTGGGGAATTACAAGGGATATGTCCGATGTTGCTGGCAGGGGAAGTTCAGTGAGCGAAGCTGGTGCTTCAGCGGCGCACCCCTTATCTCCCTCGCCTTGTTGCAGCACAGGAGGCTGGGGGGGGAGGGGGGGGGAAGAGGTGAAGATAATGTCCCCACGGGCCTGAGCAGTGCAGGACCTTCCCCGCAGCCAAAACTGGGCAGCCCCAGGGGTGTGTACAGCAAGTTACAGCCTGCAGGGTTTTGTTGTTGTTTTAAAACGAGGCACCACTCTTTTTGCAGGTGCTATCTTCAACAGACACAAACCAGCAGCATCGATGCAAAAGAGACCCTAAATATGCCCCACCCTGAATAAAACGGCTCCTTCTCACCCTAAAGGCAGATCAGCCTTACGGGATTCAAGGCCCTTAGTAGCCAACATGAGTTTTCCTGGGCTCTGGAGATGTTCTGCCACAGATGACTGTGACTTCACAGGAAGGGCCCACCCATTTGGGGAATATCCAGATGTTTTCACACCAACGGAGAATTTCTGGGGGTTATTTCTCCCCTGGACAGTACCTAGGAAAACCCATCCTTCTGCGCACACCACAGACCCCATCCCGTGTTTGGTGTTTGTTTGCGGGTTTGGAAAGGGAAGGCATGCTGCTTTACGCTGAGGACGGGATAAAAAGTCTGCAAGAGCAGTGTATGCAGAAACGTGAGGCAACTCTTCAGTTCATACCAAGGACAGTTAATATGCAAATATTGAATTTTCTTATTTTTTTTTATTACTGTAATCCCGCTGCACTGAAAAGAATCCTATGTGGTTTTATAGCTCCAAATAACATCCCTAGATTTCTAATTAAATCCCAGGCACTGAAGTCAATAGGGAAGTCAGCCCAAAGCAACATGAGAGTACAAGTGATTCATTGAGAGTAGGAGGATCAGCGTTAGACAGGAAATATATTTTCCAAGACTCTACAATTTTCCTAGAAGAATTATGATAGGGAATGACTACATAAAAGTCTTCCAGAAGAATTTTAGGTTGGTTAGAAGAAACCAAAGATCAAGTCAAATGCTCCTGATGCCACATACATCTATCTATTCCACTGGGGGAAACCCCCAAAACCAAACCACAAAAAAAACACCTCTTTGCTTTGAAATTCGGAGAGCAAGAAAGCCATTTTAAAGGCAAACTTGTGTATCTTCTTACTGTAACAGTATTTAAGTATCAGGATCCTCCAGTGAGAACAATTCGGGGACTAACAGAGTTCTCAGTCATCTGCTTCACACAGAGCTCCCGCCAAAAAAAAAAAAAAAAAGGAGAAAAAAGTAAAATAAAAGAAGCTCCACCCCAAGCCCAGACTGTGTAGCAGCTACATTTCTATCTGTGTCATCCCCCGCCAGCACACGAGGCCCCTGCCTGCCCCGTTATCTCCCTCGGCCAGCGAGGTGGCTCGCCGGAGCACCCACCTACGGACGCGTCTCGGAGCAAGGAGGGCGAAGGAGCACGGCTGCACCGCGCCGCAGGAGAAGAGGTGCTCTGCAGAAAGGGGCTGATCTCCGCTCTCTGCAGAGCGCAACGTCTTTTTCTTTTTTCTTTTTTTTTTTTTTTTTTTTTTTTTTTTCATCCCTATCCTCTTTGCAAAGGAAGTTTGCAAAAGCTCACATAGGAAGATGAAGCAAGGCGGGAGGGAGTTCAGGAAGGGAAAATGCTCGCTGCAGCCAGCACAGCTTAGAGTCAGCTCTGGCTCCCGGCTCTGCAGCAGACCAAAGGCATGGAGCGAAGCAGCACCTAAACCTCACACTGAGAAAGAAACAGCATCTGCCCTCACCCCAGGGGGTGGGACATCCACCCCTTCATCCTCCCCAAGGGCAGAATGGAGAAGAGGCAAACGGGGAAATGAGTATCAGGGGTAGAGATTTGAGAGGGAGCTGGAAATATCAAAGGATACAGATGAAAATCCCTTTAATACGGTGGTAGAAGAGCCAACTCGCTTCTATGTTTAGTTTGCTCTTTTTAGGGCAAGACTGCTGTTTCCCCTCCGCTTTTCAGAAAACTTTGATACAGAACTGCAACGCCCTCTTCCTCGCTGTGTCCAGCGCCAAGCTACTGGGCAAAGGTACAGTCAAAACAACTCCACGAGTAAACTACCACAGAATAAAATCCGGCAGGTTTGCAAGCAGTAGTAGAAAGCTTGGTTGAATTGAAGAGCTCGTTTAGGAAACAGCACAGCATAGGCTCCTAACGCTCCACAAGTGCAACCGCAGCAAAGTAATTTCAGTACTTAAGTGGTCAGAGGTACAGAAACACTGAATCGCTTCTGAAAGAACGAGACTCCACAAAACAAAGTTCAGGTCACAATTAAGATGGCTTTATGCTCCAAGAGATTTAAGAATCCTGTAGAAAATATATGTGTGCAAGAGGAGGACGAACTGGGCTGCTGGGGCTTCTCCCAGCTTCACTGCCATGTGCACGCTGACTGCTGCATCACACCCAGTTCTCCTGCATGCAGTACAAGCAGTAGAAACTAGCACCAGTTTAGACTTTTTTTTTTTTTTTTAGAAGTATTAAAATTACCGGCAGCTATTTGCCCATAGCGTCTCGGCCTGCAGTCTTGAGCATCCCACTCCTCTCTTCTGCTCTGACCCGCCATCTCCTCTTTAAGAACTTTCTGTTTTGCAGTTAACCAGGGAGGCAGCACCGTCCCCCCGCCTGGAGAAGAGCGCATTGCTCTCCAAGGCCCCTCTGGGTTATCCACGGGGCACTTTTCCAAGGCGCTGGCTGCTGCACAGAGGTCTCCTCTCAAACCTTCGGCCCCTTGTGAGGATGCTGGGCCTCATCCAGACACACTACAGCCTTGACAGTGAGCGAGCACAGAACTGTGCCAGTATACAGAGAGGGAGAAGTGGAAAGGTGACCTTAGTAAAGCTACATTCCATCTAAAACAGCTCACTACCACAAAACTATGACAGGAGGACTAAAAACCTATTCCTTGTTTGTTTTTCAGAAGTCTTTGTAATCTTAAGGAAAATTCCAGCTCCTGAATCACTCTCCAAATGTCTACTGAACTTCCCTGAAAACGCCCAGTAAGACTACAATTTTTACATCTCTTTCCTCATCTTCTATCACCAAAACACAGAATAAAACTTTGCCTGATGCAAGTAGCCTGGGCGAGCACCCTTTGTAAGTCTTGTTATACACCTGAACAAGATGAGTGGGCCTCGATTGGTCTGAACCAATTTACTTGTATCACACTGCAGTCTCTGTAGTACTACTGACACGTAGATGAGCAGTCAGAATTAGGGAGGACAACCCGAACACGTTTGGAGAGAGAGGCTAAGGGAGTAAGTGTCCTCAGCTAATTTGTGTTTAGCTGCATCAAATACAAAAAGATACAACTTGCCAAAGTTGTGTATTGTTGACCTTATCGCTGTTCAGGCACTAATTGAAGTATTAATATCAGTACAAGACAAACCACAGGGCCCTTACTTATCTTCCCCCCCCCCCCCAAAACTGATGCGTAGTGAGCAGCAGTGGGAGAGCACGGGGCCATAGGGAACCAACCACCACAAATAACACCGCAATACTCACCCAAACAGCTAGCAAGGCACCCGCGGGTGAATGTCTAGCAGAAAACCCAACAAGCAGGTGGCTGGGTTGGTTCCCGTAGCACATAACCATGTGCTGCCCAGCATTTATGATAAGGCACCATCAGGTGCTTGGGTAAGGAGATGACACATTGCACAGCCTCAACCGCCAAGCGTTTCTCGCCCAGCCTGCCTTGTCCCCTGCATTCCCGGGGTGCTCGGGGCTCCGCTGTCCCTCTCCCCCATTCGGCAGGGGCCATCTGCTCGGGCAGGTGCTTCCCCACTGCCTGCGTACCTTCTGCTTGAGCGTTGCTCTGTGGTTTCCCGGTATCAGTCCTTAGTTTTCAGCACTCACACATAAGCGAGTAGATCGCTGCCTCTCCAACAAACTCTTCAGACCACACGCCTCGGACCTGTTCTCCTGCGGCCGGTCATTCTACAGTTTCTATTTCTGCTAGTACCAGATGCTTTCAGCGCATGACATCACGCCTCTGTTAACGCACGCTCCGCTGTTAGCAGCGGATTACAACATCCCCTGCGTCTTTTCATGACATCACGCTCTACATGACTGCCTGCTTGATAACCAGGGCCTCTTATCTGCTTCCTAGTATAGTTACCGCATTAGGCTGTGTTCACAAATGCATAAATGACATCCTTAAAATAGCCATGGGGTCTACCGTGAGACTCCGACCTATTCCTAGGGTAGCTACAGGCCAGCATGTGTAAGCAACCACTGCATTTCACGGGAGTCATCACGAGCAACACCCGGGGCTCACGGGCTGTGCAGATACCCAACAGACCTTCCCCG